GCACCAGTATGGGACGGTGACATACTAGGGGACGGTTTAACTCAAAACGCCTAAACCTACCTTAATGGATTAAAGGAATGGATTGAAAATATATTAAATCCTAACTTGGAACTAAGTTAGATCAACTGTGATTAAGTTGAATGACTTCCTGAATTAATGGATGATAGTTAAGTCATATCAACTGCATAAGTTGAGTGACTAACTAGCTTGTATATTGTATGTCAGCTCAATGAACTACTGAATGACATACCCTAGTTTTGGACGGACTTTAGATATATGGTTATGGTATCACGAGATGAGCTTAAGTCTCAGACTCGTTGGTTAGGGTGCATATATGCAGTGAATGCGTAACTGGCTACAATATGTTGTGGTATACCCTATTAGGTCTAGGTACTCATGCCCACCTTTGGGTATGTTTTCGCATGTTGTCTTTTCTTCAGGATGAGACCCCTGCTGTAGTCCAGTGAATGTATATATATATATATATATATATATATATATATATGTATGTATAGACTAGATAGATATTGTGAGGTATCTACGGTGTATCTGCGTATAGGGCACTGTATGGATTGCAGTTAGATTAGAACTTGCTCGTGGGCCTGACCCACTCTTCTATTATTCTTTTCAGGTGCAGGACGGTTCTAGCCTTAGAGCTTGATCGTGCTTATCGAGGACAGTCTCTCATTCATCTACTTATGTAGGACTTCTCTTGATGATTCTCATTTGATGTTTTCAGTTCCAGTTCAGTTGAGATTTTCTTCAGGGGTCCACTATTTGGATTCCCAAGTTGTAACCTTGAAGGTTTTGGAGGATTGAATTAATATTATTTATCGTTGGAGGATTTTATTTATATTTCTTTCGGATTTCTTTATTTATATTCTTAAATTTCTATTCTGTGTTTGATTTAAAATACTTTAATTGTTTGATATTCCCTCGGGTTTGGGCCTGGGCCTAATCAATCCGTGTCTCGGATTCGAGAGGTATCGCACATTCTCTCATGTATCTAAGAAGGATTCCTTTAGAATTATCATGACGTTTGTAGCTTATTATGATTTAGAGTTACATCAAATGGATGTGAAAACAACTTTCCTAAATGAGAGTTTAGAAGAAGAAATCTATATGGATCAACCTGAAGGCTTCAGATTAGAGGGTAAAGAATGTATGGTCTGTAAACTTAAGAAGTCAATATATGGCCTTAAACAAGCTTCCTGACAATGGTATATTAAGTTTAATGATACTATTAGTTCTTTTGATTTTAATGAAAATACTGTTAATCGGTGTATATACTAGAAGGTTAGTGGGAGTAAGTTTATATTTCTGATTTTATATGTTGATGATATTTTGCTTACTAGTAGTGATCTTGGTTCATTACATGAAACTAAAAATTATCTCTCTAAGAATTTTGAGATGAAAGATATGGGTGAGGCATCCTATATGATAGGAATAGAAATATTTCGTGATAGGTCACGTGGATTGTTAGGATTGTCTCAAAAAACATATATTGAGAGAATTCTAGAAAGATTTGGTATGGAACATTGTTCAGTTAGTGTTGTTCCAATACAGAAATGGGATAAATTTAGTTTGATGCAATGCCCAAAGAATGAATTATAACATAAAGAAATGCAAAATATTCCTTATGCATCTATTGTGGGAAGTTTGATATATGCACAGGTTTGCACTCGTCCAGATATTGGTTTTGCAATTGGAATGCTAGGCAGATACCAAAGCAATCTAAGAATGCATCATTGGAAAGCTGCAAAGAAAGTCATGAGATACTTATAAGGAACAAAGAATTATATGCTCACATTTAGAAAGACTGGTGATTTAGTGTTTATTGGTTACTCAGACTCAAATTTTACTGGATGTGTGGATAGTAGAAGATCCACTTTTGGTTATTTGTTCCTTTTAGTTGGAGGGGCAATATCATGGAAAAGCGCAAAACAGTCTATTATTGCTTCATCTACTATAAAGGCTAAGTTTGTAGCATGCTTTGAGGCTACAAATCATAGTTTGTAGTTGCGGAACTTTATTTCGGGATTTAGTGTTATGGATTCAATTTCCAGACCGCTGAAAATTTATTGTGATAACACCGTAGCTGTCTTCTTTACTAAAAACGATAAGTATTCCAATGGCATTAAGCATATAGAGCTGAAATATCTTACCGTTAAAGAAGAAGTTTAGAAACAACGAGTGTCTTTTGAAAATATAAGCACACAACTTATGGTTGCAGATCCATTAACAAAAGGATTACCGCCCAAGACATTCATAGGACATTTTGAAAAAATGAGTCTTGAATATAATTAAAGTTAACTATTATTTTTGTTATGGATTGCTTAACAATGCTTATATATATTTGACATTTTGAGCTCATTAAAATGTGTTTCTGTTATTTCCTGTTAATTTATGTATGTACATGCATGTATTACTTTAAATGATAAAAACAGGAATAGTCTTAGAAAAGCTATTATTACTAGACCTTTATTATTTCTTCTCACTTATAGACTATGTTAAATGGGTTACTAGTGTTGTAGTACATGGAAGGGATTGTGTCATTTAGTGACATACAACCGCCATGACTAACATTGGTAGTTTGTTTACCATGGTATTTATGATGACCATATTAATATCTTAATTTGATTTATGGTACACACTAATGACTATTTTACTAAACCACTACAGAAGTTATCATATGTGCTTAGTGGGAGAATGTAAGATTATTTATTTAATTGTGGCCCACATGATTTGGACGTGTGACATATTACTTGGTGGCTAAGTAAATAGATATCAATTAATTATTTTTGGTCAACTTATAATTACCTTTTTGGTAATTACTTATTGAAGAAGTGTTTTCCTTCTAATTCCTTACTTTGATGGAAAGTAGAATTATATTACTAAAAGAAAAACTGGTCATCTCTCTACCTTTATAGAAGTGCATATTCTCCATTAATTATGTACGATTTATTGATACAATACGAAATAGTTTTATGTGTGCAAAAGGCCAAGAGAGAGAAACCAGTTTCCACCTTTGACTGTTGATCAGAGTTGCAGATTAGTTCGTAATTAAAGAATCTAGACGTTAGACCTAATCTCAACAAGGTTTGATATCATGAATCAAGGTATATATATCTAGCTATATATATTTATGCGTTATGAAAATGTGAAATTAATTGAAGTTCTAAAATCTAAAGATTTATAATTATTTGTGATTAATGTTTAACACAAATTAATTAAGATTTTTACAAGTCCATGATTATTAGATGGGAACCTAATACTTTTCTCTCTCTTTAAAGTAGTTTTGAATCCCTTGATGTTTTACATGTGTATATATATATATATATATATATATATATATAGATATATATTAGTAGCTCAAATCAAATGGGTTAGTAAAGGTCCTCACTCCTCTTTACTTTAGCTCTATATATCTCTATGGTGATATTGACTGTGATAGACAGTCGGATTTTACTTGTTTTATTAAATAATTGTCGGGTTTTGCTTGTTTTATTAAATAATCAATTATTGCATAACATTTAGCTACTTGTTTGTGTTTTTCACGAATTAAATAACAAAAACATAAAACAAAAATGATAAACAGACAAGCCCAAATGGAACATCACAGATCACTTAGAATAAGGTATCATGCGAGTGCCCTTATAATGGGTGTGAGCTGCGCTTAGGGATGGCAATGGGACGAGTTTGGAGCGGGTTTTCCTAAATCCCGCCCCGCCCCTTTTAATTTTTGTCAAGTTCATGCCGCTCCGAGACTCGCGAAGGGTTGGATTTTCATATCTAACCCCGTCCCGTTGGGAAATACTATGTCTCCGTGCCCGTCCCGCTAACAAATTTTTTTTTTCCCACTTTTTGGAACTTAAACTCCTGTTATGTAAACATGGAAAGCCTGGAAATGGCACAATATAAATGAAATTATGTATCCCAACAAAAATAAAAAAAATAACATGCACATAACATAATTCAAAGAACATAATAAACAAAAATAAAAATTTAATACAACCAAATCACAAGAAGTTCTAAGCTCCAACTTCCACAATAACCAAAATAAAAGTAAATTTAATACTAAGTTTACATCCTAAATTAGGATTGTAAGAGATGGGTAACTAGGTAAACCGCTAAAATAAGTTATATATATATATATATATATATATATATATATATATATATATATTAAATCGGGAAGGGGCGGGGCCCCTAGGATATGTATATTGAACCCTTACCTGTCCCGTGACTCGCGACGGGTACAAAATTTGTATCCATGCCCGCCCCAACAGTATAAAAAGTGTTCCTATATCCGTTATTAACGGGGCGGGACGGGGCGGTAAAAATTGGCATCCCTAGCTGCGCTCACTTCTCGTCCCTTTTCTCTTCCGCTGGACCTTTAAGATGAAGGAATCATCTTCATGCTGAGTCCCGACCACATAAATTGTGCAATTAGGTGAGAAAATGCTCTAGTGTGCAAGACCATTATGATCTTCCATTTCTAAATTAACGCCATTAAGCAAATATACACGGCATTATGAACCCTAGTGTTAAGTTCTTGAAATATTTACTTGTGAAAACTCTCCGCCGGTTAGGTTGCATGCGTTTAACCCTTCCCAGACCCGTGCTTGCACAAAACTAGCCCTTTTTTTTTTTAACTCTGAGATGGAGCATTGCTTTACAATTTACAGGTTCAGTTCAAGTCAAGACATTGACGGTAGCAGAGAGGGCTGTCAAGGTTGAAGAAGTTTTGAAGAAATAGGCAAAAGACCTTATACCTTAAAAGAGAGTGCGCACATATAATAAAGTTTAAGTCACCTACATTTTGTATGGGCTAGATTGATTTCTTCCCACATTTTGTAATGCACAGGTGTACTCAAAAGTTTAGTTTCAACCAACACAAGATGTTAAAAAAATTCAACCTACACACAAAATAGACAATCATGATATTGTTCTTACATCTCTCCATATTCATATTAGTGTGTAATAGGGAAGACCAAAAGTTTCAAACCAAACGATCGTGTAAATGCTTTTCGAATTTGGACCCCATTATCCTGTATATGCAATTTATGTACACTAAATATATTGGACCGAAGCCCTCAACTTGGTTCCCGGATAAAATGGGACCATGGAAGATTCAAAAAAACTTTAGAACCATGTTGTGAGGCTCAAGCTAATGTATCATCCAAACATTGCTCATCCAACGGCAACGCCTAATATTGACAAAAGGTCTTCTAGACTCTCCTCCCAATCGGCTTAGTAAGTTTGGAAGTAGAAGCACAACTTGTCCCAGAGAAACCACCTGGCTTCCTCATAAAAGAGATACTGTATAACAAGAAGCAAGATTCAATGTCTCACAAAGTGCATATACAAATAGCTCTCCAGATATACCGACAAATATGGAGAATAAAGAACTTTACCAGTGATTCCTTTGCAAGGAGTTGTTCTTCATAGCTGCTAAATTCTTCACCTCTCGACTGTTTAAAAAGAAAAAAGAGAATAAAATTAAATTCTTCTACATTTGGCATTCAGGTGAGCACAAGGACCCAACAATATGCAAGTCCCAGCAGCACATACACATGTAGCAAAATTTAAAATGAAAGATCTTTCTGATAGAATCTTTAAAGGTCTTTTAAGTCACATATTATACCACCACATCCTTTTACAAGGTTGATATATTTGGGAGCTAAGAAGCAGACATTTCTGATCGTACAAGTTAGGGGCAACCACACTTCTCAAACACTCCCAGATGTGTAAGACACATCTTGGTCGTGTTGAACAATTAAACAATATTTTTTTTAATCTGAAATATATGGCACACTTCTTAGGCCCTCGCTAATATTTTACCAATACACCTAGGACATTAGCTATAATGTTTTATAAATGTCCTCCTGAATTTTAATTAGAATTGTTTAGTCTAGAAAAAAGACATCCCAACATTAAACTTCATCTTTGTAGAACTTTTTACCTATTGAGAAATTCCAGTTTTGCCTTCTTCATCACGTTGCTCTTCGTATTGGAAATATTGCTACCAGGTCCACCTACAAACATTTTTTAAATGTAAAACAATTAAAGACCAATACAAAATGCATCCACTTCAGTGTCTTAGCCTATGCAAGGTGCTGTTAATTGTCTAAATTCATATAATGGATCACTGGACTCCAATGAACTAAGGGACTCAACAGGAAACAAAAAGTATACCTCCATAGAAGCTTCTTTTACTGCTTGAAGGTGGAACCTTCGTGCAAATCTGAACTTGACGGCTTTGCTTCCCTGCAAGAATTAAGCAATTGGCAAGAATTTCAATATAAACAAGGCACCAAAACTTTGAATCTATTTGAAGAAACAGCATCTGAGACCAAGAAGTGATGGTAGAATATGATCCGGAGAGCATTTTGTTAATTAAATGGGAGACTGATAATTTTATCAAAGGAATATGACTGGACAAAAATTCGTATTAATGCAAGGCACACCAACAAATTTATTCATTTTCCTGAAGTGTGTCAAACACGTGTTTTATGGAGATGGTCAAGATGTGTCAAACACGTGTCCTAAAGTGTCTGAGAAGTGTCGATGTCGGACACACATGTCTAACAATGATACGGCTCCTTGATAAAAGTGTCCATGCTTCTTGTAAGTATGTTACCTCTCATAGATTCTTCTTTACTTCTATTTCCAGTTATATGTTTATTTTTTAATTCACAAGTAGTTTTCTTTCCCTTTATTTTTGTCAAATAAGCCCTTCATTCATAACAGTGAAACTTCTTCTCTACCTTTAAGCCTTAATCTAAATGCTCCAAACACTAAATCAGTAACAGCTCAGAAATTCCAGCAGGTCATTATATGGAAATTAAACAAATTATATAGAACTGAAAGCTTTGCACAGGAAGAAGGTCTTCTATTATACAATTGTATCATACAATGTGATACAAGAATAAAATAGGGTTAAATACACAAAACCTCCTTGTAATATCACTATTAAATTGATCAAATCACGCCCTTCCCGTTATTTCTCAGTTAAAGTAAATGCTAATCTGACGTGTGCATTTAAGGTTTCTAAGGAAATAACTAAATTAGATTATAAAGATCTTACGAGCATCTTCCTTCTTATATAGTTCCTTGATTCGATCAAATGACTTTTGTTGAGCCGCCTCCAAGTCTTTTGTCTTTGCCTGGAAGTAAGTCACCCAATTGTTAAAAAGCAGTTCATTTACAATCAAACTCCATCTAAAAATTCTTAGTGAATTGAAAATGCAATTACCTAAATATAATCAAGAAATAGGAAAGATTAGAACTGCGGATAACTTCAGATAAAGGGAAATAACAAAAAAATGATTACCTCATACAATTGTTTCCATTTAAATGACACTTTCCTCTGTTTCATCCTCTCAACTACAAGCTCAGTACTCTTAGCACCGAATTGTTTCTCATAAAACTTCTTCCACAATTTATTAGTTACTGGGCTAAGATCTCTTCCCTGCATTTCAAATAAATATGTAATTAAACATTCCGAGATCATTTGAACCATGTTATACCAATTTAATGATTAATGAAGAAGATAGTTTGTCTTACTTCTGTCGAATTCTCGACATGCATCAACTGATCAAATGTACAGTGTGGTAAAATGCGCGCAAGGAGATGTATATCTGTTTCCCCAACATCCCCAAGATACCTAACATTATCTACTGCTGTTTGAACACATAGATCAAGCAAACATGGAACTTTCTTCTGTTCTGTCATAATTTCTTTTGAGCACGTGGAATACCCCTATCTCACCTCGTCCAGGATCCTGTTGCAACTAGTAATAAGGATATACAATCAAATTTCACAGTAATCTTTGTAGAACTAGAAATATTTATAAAGAAAGAGGGGGAAAAATTCCCATGTAGTGTGCTCATGTGTCTGATTCATGTATGTCTCTAAATGTCTTTACAATGTGTATTTCTTTTCTTTCTGTGTGTTCCTTCTTCTTTATATCCGTAATTCATTAAAACCCTGTTTGGTTGCTGAGAAAGCAAAGGAAACTAGAAGAAACCAATTTGAAGTCTTACATGTTGGCACTGTTATATACTTTGAAGTATGAAAATACTCAACAACACTAAGCCAACTGATCCCTTTCCTAAATTCCTAATTGCCTTTCAACACCAATCTGGGTTTTGAACTAAATGTCGGTCATTAACAGAACAATGGCATTGGACTGGTTTTCTTTCTTGAAATATTCTAATAAACCAAATCAACAACTGCAGGACCAAAAACAAAAACAAGGCTTGAATCTTCCTTTCTATTTCACCAATTCTTTCAAACTCAATATTTTTTTAATTTACTTTCCCTAATTTTTCAAGAAAGCAAACAAAAAGTTTATTGTTTCAACGACTGCAGGACCAAAAACAAACACATAGATTAAAATAATAACATAAAAACTAAGGAATTTTTTTTTTCAATCCACAGATACATCGTAGATCGAATTCAAGAAGCCAATTCGATCATGACCCGCGCTTTTACACATAAAGGGTACGTGTATGTGTGAGCGCGCGCGCGTGTGTTAGGTTATAGAGCTTACCAACTCGTGATCGGAAATAGAAATCGGAGAGGCCCGCCGGAGATGAGAACGACAACTGACTGGTGTTGAAAGGCAATCAAAGAATCAAGTTCTTGAGATAACAAGGGCTTACGCAATGTACTTCCTGCTTGTTAGTTACTCTACTTTTGTCCTCCGTGTCCAATAGGTAAAAGTGCAAAAAAAAAAAAACCTGAATTATTACCGAGTCGGCGACCTGAGGGTCCAAATTACTAAAATGCCCCCACTAACTAATTTATATAAAAATAGTAGAATAGCATAAATATATAATACCCATAATACCCTTCAGGGACCATATTGCAATTAACCAATAATTCAGAATTTTTTTTTACAATTTTACCTAATAATAATAAACAATATCAATAATAATAATATTAATAATAACTAATAATATTAGTAGTAATAATACTAATACTACTACTAATAATAATAGTAATAGCACTAGTAGTATTAATAATAATAATAGTAAAATAAGAATAATAAATTGCTTAGTTGCAAGATATGTGAATCATTTTTAGCCCCTGCAAATTAACAATAAGAATAATAAAAAAACAACAAGAACAACAATAATAATAGTGGTAGTAGTAATAATAAAAAAATTTTAAAATAATAGCAAAAACAAATTGCTTGATTAGTTACTTGATGGATCCATATACCCATAAATAATTTTTGTAAGCTCATAAATTATTAAAAAATAAATAAATTAAAAAAAAATGATGTGCTAGTTGAGTTAACTGTGTAATAGTAATATATGTATTTTGTGGGGGTAAATAATAGTAATATTTGCAACAGACTAACAGTGCACCAAAAACAAAAAGTACAGCAGAAACATTTAATTTCATTAATTATATATATGTACGTGAATAAATACCAAACTAACCAATGCAAAAAGAAAGTGACCAATAGATAGATTACGAATTTAAATAGAATCCACGCGTTGCATTAATTCATTAATATTCTCTTTCTTTACCATTGTTTTGGGTTTCATTTGTTTGGATGGAAAATAATTTTTTATTTTTATTTTTTGGTATTTGGTGTTCCAAAATTTAAGTAAAATATTTACTAAGTAAAATAATTTACAAAAACCTAACGAAAAATAACTTATGCTTTTGTTTTGGAAATTTTTTCAGGCCTTTGCCAAACACCAAAAAATAAAATTAAAAAAATATATTTTATCTCAAAAAATTTATATAAAAAATATTTTTCAAGGAAGATATTTTAAAACAAATAAAAATTCACCTAATTTTTCACTTTAAAAAATATTTTCATACATATGTGTGTATGTACATATATATTTACTATCATCATTTTTTTAATTAATTAATTAATTTTTATAATTTATGAGCTTGCAAAAATTATTTAAAGGTATATGGATCTATTAATCAACTAATCAAGCAATTTATTTTTGTTATTATTTTAAATTATTATTATTATTACTACTACCACTACTAGTACTATTATTATTAGTTATTATTATTCTTATTGTTAAATTATTATTTTTATTTTTAATTTGTAGGATTAAAAGTGATTCACATATCTTGCAACTAAGCAATTTATTTTTATTATTTTGCTACTATTACTATTATTATTGTTAATACTACTACTACTATTATTATTATTAGTACTATTAGTATTAGTATTACTACTACTAATATTATTAGTTATTATTAATAATATTATTATTGATATGGTTTACTATTACTAGGCAAAATTGCAAAAATACCCCTTAACTATTGGTTAGTTGCAATATGGGTATTATATATTTTTGATATTTTACAATTTTTATATAAATTAATAAGGGGGTATTTTGGTGATTTTTTTGGTCGCCGGAAAATGTGATCCGGTGACCAAGAGGGTCCTTTTCGCAACCTTTTTTTATAGTGTAGGGTTCAATTTGCAACGTTTGATAGTTCATGGAGTATTTGCAATCTTGGTAATATATTAATAGTTCAGATTTTTTTTTACATTTTTGCCTGAATAATGATAGAAAGTTGGTCAAACACATAAATTTATGTAAATAAAGAATGACGTTAATGACGTCATTCCCCACTTGCATAAAACATTAGACTAATTATATATATATATATATATATGCTCAGTGAGCCTTTATTTGCTTCTTCTCCTCCTCTTTTGAGCTTTTAAAATGGCAAATGTTCTGTTTGTATAATTTTTTTTGGTGTGTTTCATCCGAAGATTGTAGTTCCAGCCTTAGTAAAGCTACATTTGCTAAATTTATTTATTTGAAATGTCATACCAACATTTGCTCGCAGGGTTGTGACGCTTATTTTTTTGATGGGACATATGACTAATATTAGCCATTTAATTGGGCTTGTACCCTTCGGGGTTTCTATGTCTGCTGCATAAAAAACACCAACGCCTGGCATCAGGCATGATCCAGCTATGCACATGAGAAGGTATTCGGTGTGCCGGTGCACATCACAATTGTCTTGGCATCCAGAGCACGACACACCGAATATATTCTCATCTGAAAACCTAAAGTGATACTTTTTTTTTGTAAGAACTTAAAATGCTATACAAAACAATGACGACAAGACAAGACAAGAAGGTGCATAAAACCACTCTGTACAAATTCTATTCATCTTCCTGACAACCGCGCAAATTAAACCTAAATCAAATATACAGCCACTAATTATCAAAATCTGGTCACTCTAATGAGGGATTTCGTGATCAAATAAACGTTTTTCATTTCCCGGTATAATTAAGTAGAGCATTCTATCACATAATTTCATATTCATGCACCTCCAATGGAAAGCTCGACTGCCCAGATGATTAATCGGCTTCATTCTCCTTCCCTGTCAAGTGATGATTGACCCACGTCGAATTATCTAAGCAAAATTGCTCTTCGTAGCTCCAACTTTCATTCGACACAGATCATCTGATAAAAGAAGAAAACAATCAGTAATACTCTCAAGAACTAATTTTTAGAGACACTCATGAGCATCGCGAAACAAGAAATACAAAAAATGAATCTAAGCAATTCCTATTATCCCTCGATAAACCCTACTCCATGATGAAACAGTGATAAGAATGTGGCACACATCACATTTGCATATTAATCACAACACACACACAAACACAAGAAGCGACCTTAAATGCAGAAAAGCAAAATTATTTGCGATAGACAATTATGTTAGGAGTTAATACAAATCTCTATTTACCTGCTGCTTATATTTACTGATGTCATACGACTAGAATATGAAGCCCCATCAAGGCCACCAGCAACAGCAATTCGTATACTCTCCGCATCTTGAGTTTTCTTTGGTGTTCTATTTAAGAATGACTCGAGATTTCCCCTTGAATCCTTGCGGGTATCTGGCATTGGGTTCACAACGGATCCACCCCCACCATAGTGTTGTCCCCTTGTGCTATCCAGCTTTATCGATTCAGTATTGGCATCTTTATTGGGCATATTACGCATGACGGTTGGTGAATGATGTCTCCCGTAAAAAGAGAACCTTGAAGAAGAAGTATGGCCTTCTGTTCTCCTCCAAAACTTCGGACTCAAAAATTCTGCACCAGGTAGCATGCAACATGAATTTCCTGCAGAGTCCGTATTTGACATCCTTCCTGTTGATACTGCCAAATTGCATGATATCTCATCCAGTGCCTTCTCCAGACCATTTACTCGTGTCTCCAGAGAATTCATCCCACTTTGGGAGCTGCCAATGAACCTCTATAATCAAGTATAAAGAAAAAGTCAGAATATGATTCTTTAAAACAAATGCAACGTTTTTCGAAATTAAATAGAATAAGAAAGTAAAAGCTTTACACTGTTTCACAAAATAGAAAAATGGACATCAACTTGCTTAAAAGTAACGAAAAAACACAGGCAATATATTTTAGAAAGGTATCCATCACAAACCATGTAAAGAAGCATGGACCATTTCAAAGATTCATTTTCTTAATTAGATGAATCAACAAGGCATTTGTTGAGTCAGGTTTCTAGTGTGGTGGTGGTGATAATGGTCTATTTATGTACTTATTTATTATTATTGTTTTATTTTTATTTTTTGTGGGGTGACGAAACTGAAGTCCATTTTCTATCTATGTAGTTAAAGTTGTTCATCAATTTTCCAACTAACTTGAGAAAATATACAAGTGAAATAACCAAACCTTTTCTCAATTGGTCTATAAAGCAGATAGAAAACAATAAAAACATATTATGATTAACGACATTCTCTCTCATTAGTTAAACTACAATCATTGATAATTCGATGCATCCTAAGAGAATCTAACCATGCAATATCCAGGGACTTAACAAGAGTGAACTTATTTTTAGTTTAACAATTGAGAACATTTAAAGTTCATTAACAATTGAACTTATTTTTAGTTTACTTCACTCAACAAAGCATTTTCCCAACTTATGTTTAGTTTAGTTATTATCGGAAAATAGAACACAGAAGAACCATGCAGGCGCAAATATGTTCTTATAGTGCAACCGGACATAGCATTTAGAGAGAGGAGATAGTAGACTCAGTAACAATTACCTGGAGAAGGTCAAACAGACTGAATTGTTGGTTTTGGATCTGAACAAGCTGTTTGCAGATCAAAGACAGATCCTCGGCTTCTTTCTGGTTCCCATAATCCTCTTCAGCAGCATTGCTTTCTACCACATCCAAATCACAATCATCATTCTCGTAAAAAGGAACCACACGACACCCAGATCTCAAACCACCAAATTTGTGCAATTTTTCATCACAGGTTTTATTAATGAGGACACGTTTTGTTTCCGGCTTCAGATTCCTGCAGCTTCCATTCGCTCCTGGATCTGAAACCCTCTCTTCAGAAGAGACTTCCAAGGAGGGAGGCTGGGGTACAGCAACTTCAACATCCCTATCAAAGGGTTTACCATTGTCCAGCTTACAGAACAAGGGTTTCTTGACACTACTCTTTGGTGGACTTCTTTGTGAGGTTACGGTATCTAACAAAGGCATCCTGTTAGAGAGGTTTTTCTTTTGCTGAGGAGTTTCAAAACCTTCATCAGGGGAACTTTTGGTGACAGGAGGTGGGCTTCTGCTGCTGTTATCTGGTCTCACGGAAAAGAAAAATTAACATACATAAGATAAGTGTAAACAACTTTTTCATTTTTAATTTTTTAATTGGAAGGATGAGGAAAACACGAGAGCAATTTATCCAATTCTTCAAGTGCATAGGTCAAATTTAACAAATTGATATCATATAAAATGTTTTCCTATGGTATGTTATATGCTCTTAAAAAAGAAAAGAAGAAACGAAATTGGAAACCCCCCAATGTACCAAGCTTTGTGGGCATGCAACCAGTTTTTTCATGGTCTGATGCAAGCTGTGTTGGAAACAAAAATTCCATAAACGAGGGCACATGAAAGGGCATTATATGCATGTGCTTTTGATTTATATTATATCAAAAAGATTGTGCATTCAAACAGAAGAACCTCAAAGAACAGGAAATCACATGATATACTAGGACTCACAGACAGTAAATCCAACTTCTCAAAAGTAAGATGCATATGCTTTAACGAATGTCAAACACAGGAAGATGCAGGTGTCGCGTCAACAGGTGCATGACATGCCAATAGTTAATAAAACTAGTTCCCTTTATAACATAGCCAAAAAATGTTGTTCTTATAAAACAAATATAGAAGTTTCTTCAATGACGAACCATAAGCATCTTTAAAACAACGAAATATCCTCCCCAACTCTTTTCGGGGTAAATGTTTGGGATGCAACATTTACAAAAAGGCGACCAAGGCTTACATGGGATGAAGTAATTAAAAATGATTTCAAAAAATTAAATCTAAGAAAAGACATGGCGTATAATAGAAACAACATAGAAAAAGAGAATTAATGTGGCCGACTCCATCCATATGGATAAAGGCAACGATGATGACTAAACATGCTGGCTCTCATATTTCTTAAATTCACAGGCTTATTAACCTTAAAAAATACTCTCCTGGTTTCCTTGTACCAAAACAAATGAAACCTTTATTACTATCCAATCCACAATTCAGCAAACATTATGTCCAAAGAAAACAGGTGTTTTTCACTCATTCATACATTAATCAATTCACATGCATGATGCAATAATTGAAGCACAAACAAACTTGGCATTCAGATATAATTATAACTATAGAAATTAATAATAAAAAACTGAAACAATTGTAAACCAAAAAAAGCATTACCTTTAGGAGATGATTTAACTTGAAATTGAGGCACAACCTCTTCTGAAACCGCAGGGACCTCCTTCCACAACTCCAAGCTCCGATTCATCGTCTCTCTTACAACCTTAACCTGTTACAATTTCAATTCAATGAGATCAAAATAACCAAATTGAGACATAAAAATTAAAAATTAAATATATGACTCAGTAGTAGAAAATTACCCTGTCGAATCTTCGGCTCTCCAAAGAAGCCAAACACGATGACCTAAACTCCGGTGAGGCATTTCTCTCTGCCAACGCCAATCTCGCCAATGCCTCAGCCGCAGCCTTCCTCGCCGCCCAATCCTCACTGCTCAAGAACTCAATTAAGCAGGGAACCAAACAATTCAATAAACCACGATTCGATGCACCACCGGCACTGACAATGCTGCCGACGAGCGACAACAATGCCGGCTTGGCCTTGAAGCAATCACTCTTCACTAATTTCAACAATTTAGGTAACAATTTCTGCAATTGAGCGGAGTCTGGATCAGGAGAGGCCTCGATTGCCGCTGCGAGACACAGCGACGAACCGATCTGCGAATTGTAGTCCTGTTCGACCGAAATTGCCTCCACGAGGGGTTTCAAGAACGAAGAGAACGGGGGTTTAGTGATCTGCGAGGCCATGGATGCGACGGCATCCACACAGGCCGAGCGGACGGCGGAGTCTGGGTCACGAAGGCGGCGGAGAACGCCGGACATCATCTTGGAGAGATGCGGAGAGAGGGCGTCGCCGTGGGCGGCGGAGAGGAGGCCCAAGAGTCGAACACATTGGCGGCGCACCGGCGATTTCTCGGAGGAGTCCGTGGTGGAGAGGCACGTGAGGAAGGGAGAGAAGGCGTCGTGCGTCAGATTTCTAGCGATGGACTCGAGCTCGGTGGTGGCCACGGCAAGAGTGTCCCGGTCGGAGAGCTTGTTGAGGCACGTGATCACTCTGTGCTTGAGATTGTCTTGCGGCGGACTTGAGGAGTGTCGTTTGGGGAGAGACATTGCGGTGGAGTGTCGTTATTTTGTGTCGTTGTGTGTCAGAATCCGGCGTTGGCGAGGGAGGACGAGAAGGTTGCGCCACCGGTTTTGGTGGTGAGATAGGCGCAGTTTATCGGTTTATTTTGTATCCTGATGCAGTTTATCGGTTTCTATCAAATGTCAAGTGGAAGGAGTATATACACCATATGCATATACATATATATATATATATATATATATATATATATGCGTGTATGTATATATAAAGAGAGAGATTAGAGAGAGAAAATGGAGATCGGGAAGGATGGGGAAGTGCAGGCAATATTTAAGTTGGTTCACTTCAGTCGAGGCGGGGGTCTCTCACTCGTTGAGCGATAGAGAATAAAGCAGGGAACTCCATTAAATACTAGGTTTTTGTTTGTTTAGATGGAAAGTTTTTGTTTCGGAGGCTTTCTTGTATGGCAATTAATATATTTTATAATTTGAATGACATAAAACTTGTTATAAAAATATATTCATGTAGTTTTCTCAAGAAATTTAAATTTTTATGTGTCTTTTGTTGCAAAATTTTATGAAAAATTTAAATAATTATGTAAAGTTTATTTATTTATTCTTTTACTTGCTGACCAAACTTTTCAACTGTTTAAAATTTTTCCTTTTTACTTGCTAATCAAACTTTTGGCGTGCTTAGAAAATTTTCATTTTCTTTTTTTTCTTGTTATTTTAATTTAACCAAAAATTTTTTTTTTTAAAAAATGTTACAGTTAAAATATTAAAATTACAGTAATTTTAATTTTCTTTTGTTGATTAAGTGTGTGTCCCCATTTATGGATGAAACAGTTCCATCCAAGTATGTGACAGATGTTAATGTCATACATTAATTTAAATTAGAGGAGAATTGATGCTAAAATCTCACCAAATAGTAAGGAAAAAAGAAGTTATCCCGAGAATGGATGATTTCATCCACAAAAATTCAGGTTTAGGTCTCATCATAAATGTAGACATTTGTTCTATATATACCAAATTACTTACAATTTAATAATTAGAATCCTATTGTCAAAATAAAAATAAAATAAATAGTTTTTTTTTTTTTTTTTTTTTTTTTTTTTTTTTTTTTTTTGAATTTAGCAATGGTTAGTAGGGTTAGGGAGTTAGAAGTGGAGGGGAGGGAAAATAATTCTAGTGGGTTTGGACCAAAAGCTCCAAACAATACACGCCATATCGCTGACGAGTACCGCACTTGCAGTAAAAATAAATAAATAAAAAAAAAAGTGAAAGAAATAAGGATTAGTAAACCGTGACGAGTAGAACTTAATATACATTGTTGGTTCATTCCGTAACAATATTATTTATCGTCTTCTGTATGATTAATATGATTAAAAGAAATTGTAATATGGACCGATAAGTGATATGGTCTCTCTTTTAACAATGGGAAGTTGAGCGATCGAATCTTGTTAAAGACAGTATTATAGATGTGTATCCAAACGTTTACTTGATTTTTAAAAAAATAATAATAAAAAAATAAGTAAAGTAAAAGGAATATTGAAAGTAGAAGTGGTATGCAAATTGGTAATGGTATTTAATTAATTAAGCAAAGTACTTAAAGATCTAGGAGGAAGTATTAAATGTGAAGCATGTGAATGAGGAGATCTGGGAGTGGACCGTGGCAGAATTGTTCAAAGTTCTCTTTTGCAGAAGCGATCACGTGACTCTGCAGTGGCAAGTTTTTTCTAGTAAAAAATCACACCTTTGCGTTAAATTAGGGGTAGTGAGTCTGACTGTGTGAGACTACCAAGTCTCTTTCTCTCGTCGTTTTTTTTTTATTCTAGTAAAAGCACCAGATAGTGAAACTAGAAGATTCTCTCACTTTTGTTTATTCAGCACAAGAAATTATTACATATAATTCACGATCATGTGAGGTTGATAATCACAAGTAAATACACAAATCTAAATGTGTTAATTTTAGTTAATTTTGTGTCACGGGTTTAGAGTTTTAGTACTATTTTAAGTCTCTAATCATTCTGTTGCAATATTAAGATGCTATTTCTATTCGCGTAGATAAGGTGTAACATTTTTGACAGCCAATACCACTATAGTCCCCGGATTACTTAATAATTTCTTACTTTTTTATTTTTATTTTTTATTTTTTTAGCCATATATAAGTGGTAGTTGTGGGCAATTGCATGATTAATAAAATTCATTATCTTGAATGGTAGTCATATTCTTTTTGAAAGAGTTGAAGAGTTTGAGCCTTACTAGAACTACTTTGTATGTATCGGGTTAGGTCTAGGGGTGTCCAATTCAAAAGGTTATTTTATTAGGTGGAGTGGCTATTACCCCCATACAAGTCATGGTGGATTGAGATTTTTGCATTCGGTTTGGGTATAACAAACTAGTATAAGAGGCAAGTTCTCAAAATTCCCTACCTAGGGGTGAAGTGGGTAATTGAAAACTTCACCTAATAAGTTAACCTTTTGGATTAGACACTCCCAAACCCAACAGTATGTCATGTTATGGGAAATTAAATGTACTATTTTTATAACCCACTTTGATCCTTTGAAAACTCGAACCTTCACCATTCATTTTGAGAGGTAGATGAGATACACTCGAGTACAAGCCTTTCTTTTTGTCTTTTTTTTTTTTTTTTAATTTTTTTATTTGTGTGTTTGTTTTTAACTTAAAAAAAAAAAAAAAAAAAAAAATTTCCAAAATCAAAACAAGTTGTGCAATTGGAGTACTTCTTATGAATTTATTTCTTTAGCTCAATGTTCAACAGTTATGATGCATGTGATCATGGCGATGATGGATGCGGGTCAATGGTGTGGGACCTACTAAATGGCTAGGGTTTTTATCAAACCCTATCCATCTACCTAACCTCCTAATTACCCGCCACAGCACAATTACAGTTCTTGAAGTTTTCTAACCGAAAGATGAAAATAAATTGAAGGCCTAGGTGGTGTAAAAGAACAAAGATGCTGGTTAAAAAAATAATAATAAAAAAAAAAATAAAGATGCCTCCGTGATTCAAGTTAAAATGCAATAATACTTGTATCAAATTATCAATAAGTGCAAAAATGGGCATAAAACATACAAATTGTCAAGTGTTATAATGGCATATATATATATATACACATATATTCCTAATTTATAGGAAAAAAGTTTGACAACTAATTAGAATCCCATGTGATCTCTGTTTGGATTGTTAGGCTCATAGGCAAAGGGATTGGCATATTAGTAGTGTGCTGTTGTTTTCATTCATTGTCACCATTTTTGAGATCCAAACAAGTAGCCAGATAAGTTGTACCTTTATTTTGTGGAAATATAACATGGTGTTGTATTTGTCTCTCATTTCTTCATACATTTATCACCATTTCTGAGATCCTAACAAGAAGCTAGATAAGCCGTGGCATTCTCTTCTAAACAAGTATTGCTATTCTAGTCAAATAGGCTAGACAATTCAATCAACCAAAAGCATCCGGGCCTTTCAAGCCCGGAAGTGGGTCCCATTTCCGGCCTGATGCCTTGGATGCATTCGATTAAATGCGTCAGTTGGCATTTTCGATTCTAAAATTATTTTCGTTTATGAAAATATAACATGGTGTTACATTTGGTACTCTCTTACATTTTTCATACGTTATCACCATTTTTGAGATTCAAATAAGAAGTTAGACATTTGAGCAAGTACTGCCATTCTAGTTGAAGAGACTAGACAATCCAATCAACTGAAAGCGTACAAGCCTTTGAAGGCCGAAAGTAGGTCCCATTTTCAGCCTTCAAAGGCCTTGGATGCATTCGGTTAAATGCATTCATTGGCCTCTGTAGTCTTAAAATCATTTTTCTTTATAAAAACATAACACAGTGTTACATTTGGTATTCTCTTAAAAAAAAAAAAAATTGAGAAATTTTAGAGAAAAATGAGATAGTATTTGTTCCCAATTAACAAAATTTTCTTTTATGCCATGGATGCGTTAGTTTAATTCCCAAAAAATTCATGAGGACAAGTTTTAAAATGGATTATGTAGTCTCTATCACTTTATTTTGTTAGTAATTTATATAATATATTATGTATATATTTTTAAGAAAGTGTGGATGTAAGAGCCAACAAATAGGCATTGATGCAGTAAGTCAACCTCTCCAACAAAAGATCTAAATTTGTTTGAAGCAAAATCTCAGAGAGATACAAGTTCTGATTGAATTTTCTTATATTAATTGCTATTTAGGTGCCAAATTCTATATATATATATATTTTGCTATTTGGACATCACAAGTTTTGATCATTAGGTTTGCTAAGCTGCCAACCCCAATAATATTAGCTAACCTAACCACCAACTCATCAATTTTGGATGACATAAACGTTCTTAATAAAATCTGAAGCCCTAACTAATTTTGCAACAACTACTAACATGGTCTAAAGATGTCTGGCAATAGTTTATATATATATATATATATATATATCCAAAAATGATAATCATGAATTTTTTTTTTTTTTTTTTCAAAAATAGCTCACTAGTAATAGAGAATATTGAAAAAAAAAAAAAAAAAAAAAAAATTGTTTGGTAAAAATTGTCATAAATACAAAAGAAACATAAAAACACAATAGAGACCTAAAAATGTCTTCTTTCTCTGAGTTAGTAAAATTTAATTCACCGCACATACATACATACATACATATATGTGTATATATTACTTTTCATCGCCTCATACTTAAATCACACCCTCTCACAAAAATAGCAAATCAGTAGTGGCAATTAATTCTGTTTTTCAACGTATTTCTTTTACTTTATAACATTATAATTTTTCAATATATTCAATTTAATAAGTTAAAAATAAATTTAAGGGCTAAAATCATAAAATCCCCTTCTTGTTTTCAAAAACGTTATATAACCCCCTCAATTGTCAAACAACTCTCTGAACAAAAAAAAAAACTTATCACGTCTTTGTAAAATGACAATAATGCTTTTGATAGTATATTAATATTTTATTAAATTAAAATTATAGTGTGAAAAGTGTAATTTCGTTATGATAAATTATAAGGTTATTTTAGTTAATAAATTGATACAACTGTTGCACGTGATATGATTCTCTTAGCTTACTAACTGAGAGGGAGTAAGATGATATAATTTTTAAAGTATGAAGAGTAATATGATAGTTTGTTTATTGAGAGGATCAGTTGATAATTTTATTCTAGCCCTAAATTTAATATGTTGAAAAGGATTGTACTTCTCACCAGTCTCAAAACACCGTCTCACATTTCGGCGCCCGCATGGCGCCATACACCTTGCATTCACACCACAACAACACACAATGCCACTGACATCTTTTATGACGTATTTAATGGAGTGGACCTCACAAGAATAATAATTCGTTGAATTATTAATTTTTCAAAAATTCATTTTAAAATTTAAACTCAGTTTTTTAAAAAATGT